CTACTGATCCTGGGAAAAGAGATTTATGCTGTTTCCTACTAGAGCACTGTACAACCATTTTCACTATGGCAACATTACCTATAGTGCATACATCAAAAACCAGAGCATTTTGAGTGCAACTAAGTATAAAATAGGGTGAACCTAGACATGAGTATGACAGTGTGAATAATTTAAACCCCAAGACCTCCCATAGCTGCTATTAAAACAACAGATTGCTGCTGAATGCATTTCTTACTCTTTGTATTCTACAACAGAATGGAATTTCATTCTCCATGCTTGTTACTTGAAGTAAAAGGTATCCTATTTAAAGCAAATGTTTGGAATTTTTGTCTTTTTTGTGTTTGCTTACAGTTTTACAGCTATTTTCAACCATCATCTAAACAGAGATTTTTTCTGTACTGTTCTTAATAGCAGAGTACAGAAATTAGAATCTATTGGAACTACCTTTGCAAAATAAATACATCTTCATAAAGGATATTCCATTGCAGTACCCTGAAGTTTCACTGAGTCATCATCCCTGCCATTCTGTGCAGTAGGGCTCATAAAACAGCCTGGAAACTGAGATCACACTTTGTGTTATGTAACTACAACCTTTCCTTCTCCCAAAGTACCCACTAAGGGGCTGAAGGAGCTGCTTCTTTCCCAAGGAGAGGTTGAAACATTTCTTTGACTGGAACTGGAAACAAACATTTCTTTGGCTGGAAAATTGTTGTAGTCTTATTGTAAAGCTCCCATATTTTCCCAGTGATTTCTCATGGGCAGCTCCTTACAGCACAAGCAGCTGCCCCACTCTTTTGTAGCACTCTTCTTCTTACTGGACACAGCTGGGGCCTATTAAGGGCAGGCCTGTTCCTAATCTTAGGGGATTGGTACAGCTGCAACTCCTCAGGTGTGAGCCCACCTTCTGCACCATCTTTATTTTCTTACATTCTATCCCCCCACAGAAATTCTCCTGCTTTTGGTGATGGGTGGACTGCACCCTCATGTTTCACCCTCCTCCTCTTCCAAACAACTTCTGAAAAACCTGATGGGACTTATTCCAACCAGCTCTCTCTGCACAGAACTGATGGTGCACTCTGTACTCCCCTCCCAACTATTATGCAGTCCTAGAAGTGTTCTTAGAACCTGGGAAAATTGCAGAACCATTGCTTTGAGTCATCCAACACTTTCCCAAATGTCCTCTGTCACATTACCTACGCACCACTCCCATATGGCTGGGGTCTCTTCAGGGAACTGGCTGCAGCTTCTCCACTGGAGATCAACTTCACTTCAGATTTAGTGGAACAGAAAAGTTTTCCTCCAATATTGAGCAATATATTTACAATCTTATCATTTTTATAGTACCAGCATAATTTCAGAGCTGTTCTCAGGCAAGACCAAGCAAGCAGTGTACAACCTGAGTGCACTAAAGAGAAAAAAGAAAACACAGGCATGTTACAGAACACAAAACAGAAAGGGAACTTAAAGAGCTTTCCAACAAAAAGCTGTTATTCCAAGTATGTACTTTCTTTCTAGCAAGTGTTTTAATTTATATGCTCAGAGAATGAAGAGGAAAATGAATCCAAAAGAGACAATAACTTCATCATGTGATGGCTACAAATAGAGAAATTTAAACTTATAACAAATACACTCTTAAATTAGAACACACTTAGATGCTGATATCCCTCCACTGCCTGCAATCACCCTCAAGGGAAGCAAAATTGCATGAGACTAACAGAACATTCACTTGTTTTAAAATTTACAGGAGCCTCAAGAAAGTTTCACATGCATTTTACCTCAGAAACAATGTGCTACTTATTCTTCCCAGCAATGATTTTTTACATAGCATTCTGGGATCAAAATGTAATTTTCAACAATAACATATTTTCTGACATTCTCTAAGGAAAAATTACTGGTTTCTTCCCTCTAAAAGGATTTTGAAGGAATAACATCTGTGTTGAGATTATTGTGAATATGTTAAACTGACAGCAAGTCTCTAAGGGGCACTGCTCATTAATGATCTGTGCATAAAATTAAAACTTGAAATATATTTTCCAATCTTTTTTGAATCATTTAAGCAATTCTCATGCAAAGAAACTATTGTGCAGCAATCATATATTTGCAGAGTAGGCAATGAAAGCTATTAAAATGTCCCAGACCCCCTGCCTTTCAGGCAAAAGGAAAAAAGGAGACGCTTTCTGATTTCAAACACGAGCTGTATTGAAACAAAAAAATACTTTCAAAGACCATGAAGAGTTTGATTTCAGTTTATACAATGCAACAAAATTTAAAATTGTGTCTTTCTCCTTCATCTTTAATTCATATGGTGCCTAGGTAGTTCTCCAACCAGCAGGAGAGTTTTGTCAAGTGTTGCCCATTGGCATTTACAAGAAATTTCTGCAGTGGCTACAAGTGGTGGCTGTATTATTTCAAACTGCAGCAGGGCAGCATTCTGCAAACTCCCTGCAAGCACAACTGGGGAGCTGTGTCTGAGACAATGCCTGGGACTCAGGGATTTTAATGCAAACTCCTTCTCCAGTAAGAAAGTGGCCAAGGTCTCCATGTCCATAGAACAAACAATTCTGTTTGGAGGGCACGTACACTTCTTCCACCCAGCACAACAGAAATACAAGTGCACCCATCAGGTTTACTGTAAAGCAGTCTCTCATGCAAATCTTTAGTTTGAATAAAAAAGGAATAAATCTGCTCAAAATCAAATAAAATTCAAGGAATTATTGAGTTTTTCAAGCACAGAAATCTGCATAAAGCTGTAGCTGTAAGTGCCATTTTATGGATTAAAAAAAGGAACATATTATCATTGGGAAAACAAACATGCCCTCACTGTTTCAGAAGCCACTGGATAATTACAGCCACAATAAGATGAGAGTTCTAAATTTTGCCACAACATATAATGATTCTAACCAGGCTGTTGGATTACGTTCATAAATGGAAATTCAGGAACTCCAATTAACATGTTCTTGATGTGATAGACTTTAGCAGGGCTTTTTTAAATGAAACCAGTCTGTGTCAATGGGACTTCATTACTTAAATCACAGCAATCATAACAAGGCAGTCTCAGGCTGCCTACATCTGAAATATTATGTAAAAACATTACAAAAAGACACTGAAGTTATGCTCAAATACTCCTTTATAGACTTCCACACCTCACATTGCAAACTGTGCAGCAGCAAACACAACACTGCCAGTACTACCTAATGTTTTTTGGTAAATACTTTCAATGCAAAAGCCTAAGCACAGATACACGTGGATCTATAAATGAAAATATAAACACCTCAGCAGAGAGCATCACTTTCAGCAGTTCTGACATTGCTGATGTAGCGGGAAGATTCCAGATTAGAGCAGCTGAAAGAAAATAATAAAGCTGCTCTTCAAATTTTAGATGTGAAGATGGCACCTTGAGAAACACAGGGAACACAAACTGGTGCACCCCACTGCAGTTTTCCTCAGGGATATTTCATTCCCCCTCCCTCACTGCTATGTGCCATCAATGGAGGGCTTTTATTGCCCTTTTCCACCCCAAAAGCCCATGCAGAGCCCTGCCAGCCCCTCTACAGAGCTGCCAGCCAGGTACACATGGATCTGGCCAGCCAGAGCCAAAGCACCACAGCAATGTTTGGGACTTCCTGCTCACACACTGGACTTGAACATCACAAAGTTCTGTTTCCACGTTGTCAATGTAAGTTTCATCTCTCATTTCTTCTTGACAAATGCTGGCGCACTTTAAGCCCTGACACAGTAAACTACAGATTTGATTGTTTCATTAACAAAGTATCTTTTTCAAGGAAAGCATCAAAGCAATAAGAAAACTCCTGAGATAAATGTGACAAAGCAGCAGGAGTTAATTAAGTAGGACAATGAGTAAGCATTTATGGGTGTGATAGGAGACCCAGCTGATTTAATTGCGAGCCTAATTATCAATTAGAGAATCAAGAAATGGCGTGTAAGTGAAATATTCCATTTGTTGATACTTTAATGATTTTCAGAGACCCAGAAGAGCAGTATTAATTGCTATTTTAGAACTACAGAAAGCGTTTTTATTTTCCTCTTACTCAGACATTCTTAGTACTTCTAAAATAACTAAGAAATGCATATAGTCTTGTACTCAAATATTTAAGTAGTTTAGGTACTCTGGATTTTTTTTAAGAAGTCTAGTAATTAAACATTCAAACACACCACCTCTAAACCACTCAGCTGAAGTCAAAACCTTTCTGCATTTATTTTCTAATAAGGATAATAAGTGCCCAGTAGTGTGAGAGTCCCATTAACTATTTCCAGGGTGTTCACACAAGTCCATTTCCAGACAACACGAAAGAGATGGGGGAGCCATTTAAACCCACGGGGGCAAAGAGCCAGCTGGCTCCACTCATTGTTGAAATATTTTATCCAGCAAATACAAGAAAATAAAATTATCAAAAATTTAATATATTGGAAAACAATGAACCCATTACAAGCTGTAAATATATTCTGGGTTCTCACATAGAAGCCAAAAGTATGTTAAGATCTTTCTCAGAACTTCTGACATGTAGCTTGTAAAGGACATTTACAAACTACATGAAAAAGAGACGCAATAGACACCGTATCACAGGACTGGTGTTGTTCCCCAATGAAATTATCAAAAAGCAATTTTGGTGTGTAGCAAGAGGAACCCAGAATAGGACAGCAGATTAAAAAGAAGCTTCCAATCATCTTCACCCAAATGCATTTTCCTTTCATTTAAAGACACACAAAAAAAATTCCCAAGCACTTGCCCTGGCCTCCTGAGGGGCCTGAAGAAAGCAGAGAGTGGGAAGTTTTTACTTGTTTTTCCCCTGAGAAATGGCTGTACTGCCACTAAAAGCTTCCAAAAGACAAGAAAAGGGAATCTTTCCCCTCAATAACTATATATGCACTTCTCGACATTAATTTATTACGCGTTTTGACACGCCTCCTCATTACCTTGGGACCGCCCCTCCGCCATCTTGTGCCGCCCACACGAGTTCCCGCCCCTTCCGCCCAGCGGGGCTCCCCCGCCGCCATCTTGTGCCCGCCTGAGGGGCCTGGAGGAAGCAGTGAGGGGGAATTATTTCGCTTTTTTCCCCTGCGACATGGATGTGGTGCCACCGGAGAGCTCCCAAAGCACGAGAGAAGGGGATCCTTCCCCTCGGTGGGTGCGAGGGCACTTCCCCACATTCCATGGAACACGTTCCCGCCCCTTCCGCCATCTTGTGCCCGCCCACACGAGTTCCCGCCGTTGCCCCGCAACGCCCGAGCGGCCGTGGCGGAGCGCGGGGCTGAGGCGGCGCGGCCCCGGCCCCATGGAGCCCCCCAACTACATAGCCCAGGACAACAACTGGTAACAGCCCGCCCGGAGCGGCAGCACCGCTGCTCTGCGGCTGCTGCTGCCGTCCAGCTTCCCCTCCCGGCCCGCAGCTCCGCGCTGGAAGAGTCCGGTGTTTAAAGAGCGGGTGCGCTGGGTGAGGCGTGCCTGGGTATAAAGTCATTCACATTTAGAGGGGGCTCCAGTGCACCCCTCATGCCCCGCCGGCTGTGGGGTCGGGGCGCCTCATCAGCCAACGCAGTAAATGAAAGTATATTTGAAAGCAGCATTGGTGCTTACTTTCCAACTTCCTCCGCTTCTTAACATAATTTAAAAGCAGTGCAGTGTTCACTGTTTCACATGCAGTCTTCACTGTTTCGCATACAGCGTTTCAGACCTCTGGAAAGTATTTTCCCATTAGCTCCGAGCCAGATAGTGATAATTTGTATATAAACGCGCTGCTTTGAGATGGAAGTTTAAAGCTTCCAGCTGAAGTGCTGTGCTTTGTGACATCGGTAGTTGGGGTTGGCATGTTGGGGTTTTTTTTAATGAAAATTTTCAAGGTAATTTTAAATGTTTTGTGTTGGTTTCAGGAAAAACCGTGTTGAAAACGAAAGAGATGCTGCAAAAAGATGGGCTGAGAAATGGGGATTTTTGAAAACACCTCTTGAAGAGGTAAAATTGAATGTCATGTAATATGGCTTATAAGATAAGCAACACATGAGCACAAATTTACTGGACACAAAACTTGAGCACACATTTATCTGGACACAAAATTATGAGAGCACAGAAGACCAGAAGTGTACTGAAAATGCTTTGTTACACTGACATCCAAGGTAGCAACTGCATTACTTTTGAAATGGTTCAAATATTCCATTTTCTTCTGAATAAAATACATCAAGTGGTAATTTATATGCTGTGCATATTCTGATATATTTCTCCTGAGAAGCATGACTCCTAATAGTGCTAACAAGTACTAGATGCACACTGACAGGAAAATATTTCCCCTTTGTCTCTCCATATGGTATTTTAAAAATCTAGGGGAAAAGGTTCCAGCTAATTAAATTGTCAGTGGGGGAATCTACAACAAATGAAAATATTTGGAGTGATGTCTCTTCTCAGTGATGTTTAGATATTAGAACACAGTAGCACATGATGTTACATTTGCAATCACAGTATTTCATTGCTAAAGAACAGGATTGATGCAGCCCCTGCATAGTTACAAATGAAGTTTGCATGTCTTCTGAAACAAAAAAAAATTCCAGTAATTTCCAAAGCACTGAAATAAATAATCCTGCTTGAGGGGGAAAGAACAGGAAGGTCATCTGCAACAATGAGGGGAATGGTGTGGATTTCACATATTACAGTATATTTCCAAAGATGAAGAATCCAGTTTTTAAATATGTTTTGGTTTTAGTTGCTTGGACCTGAAAAGAAAGAAGCTGCAAAGCCCAAGCTCCAGCTTCCAGATCACCTGCAGGTTCGACCTGTGACACCTGTGGAAAAATACATTAAGGTTAGAAAATTAGATTTTAAAATTGCAATACAGCAACATCTGTTTTAAGAAACCACACAAGCTCTGGAAACCAGTTGTCTTATAGAGGGGGGTCTTTAACTAAAGGTCAAAGTAAACTGCATTTACAAGCCAAACTGTGCTTTAAAAGCATTTGTTTAAGACAAGGAATTGCCCTTTGGATATGGTTGTAATTTTTCTATCTTTATTTAAGAGTCTGCTTTTTGTCAGAGACAATACCACTGTCCTCTTCAGTACCACAAATTAATAAGAAGCCATTTCTAATAATCCAAGTCATAATTATTTTGTTTTGTATGATTTATATGTATATTCAGGGTCTTAAAGCTGTCAAATAGCTGGAGAGTAGAATGTGAGTGATGGTTTAATTTATAAATACAGTGTGTCAGGATCACCAGTGAATAGGGGGAGTCCACTGGCAGCTACAGCAGTGACATTGGGAGAGGAACTTGCTCACAAAAGGGGAAGCAGAATATGCTAATGAAAAGGAAGGTTAGTCCACTTAGAGAAGATTAGGGAAATAAAGGAGATTGGAAGTTCTTACTTGCTGAACTAGCTTTCTTTCAAAGGATTCCAAGGGTGGGGAGAGAAGGTATGGAGGTAGTAAAAGCTTTTATTGAGATTAAATTAAAATAAAAATTAGGAGCTAGTGCTGAGTGTGGTAAAGCAATGCAATGGCACCATTTCTGCCAGTGCTGCTCCTTGTTCCTCAGTTTTGTCCCACAGCTCCAGTGTCAGTGCAGTTGCAGTCCCAGCCCCTGAGGGTGTTGGTGCATTAACAAATCCTGCAGGTCTCAGCTGCTCCCCAGGCGTGCAGAGCCTGGTGCACGGTGGAACAGAGTTTCCATTTCACCTCAGAACTGGGAGGAAGAGAAGGGCTGGCTGTGATTTAGGTCACCTTTTACATATTCAGAGTGAAGTTTCATACATCCTTTTCAGAAGTGTCTTTCTGCACATTTACCTTGTGGTAACAGTCAAATCTGTTCTCTCTAGGTTAGACTAATAAAAGCTCCTGCAGTCCCCTCCCCCAGACCAAAAGTGGGACATGATTTCCTTCATTATCCTGCTCAGTGGGTGGCACTTTTGGCCATAAAAATTATCTTTTCTGAGGAACTGCTCCACCTCAATATCATAAACATTTTCTAATCTTGGCCAAAGAACAAAGTGAAGCAACTCTGGCAAGAGAACTGAAACATTGTTCTCTTGCTGTGTATTTCTGTGCTAAGTCCCCAGATGCTGAAATGATAGAACGTGCCCAATTGAGATGATTCAGCCAAAGTAAGCACAGCAGTCACTGAGCAGAGTCTGTTGGCTTTTGTTTTGTTTCCTTTTTAGCTAGATTAGTTGCAGATTAACTTGCTGCTCACCCATCTTTTAGAGTAGAAGGAAGGTAGTAGTTCTTGATGTAGAAGCCAGCTTGGTCAGTAATATCTTCAGCACTTGGATTTAAAATTATTATTCCATAGCTGCATTACCAAATATATTGCAGCAAGGAGAAAACACTATTTCTCCTGTTTACTGAAGTTAATCAGTTTTAAAGATGATGATGATGATTATCTTCTGCTTGAGCTTTTTCCATACATAATAATAATAATACAAAAATTCTAATAATGTTAAGCAATTAAAGCCCTTAGTATTGAACCAACCTTGGAAAAAAAAAAATTCCAACATACACTACTAAACAAAGACTTGATTGTTGATTTTAGAACACTACAGTACAAAAGGCAGTGTTGCAGAAACTTCAACCAAAAACCTTTTCATCATTCAGTTTTACATGTTACTTTGATTTTAGGTGCTTCCATCTCCTCCAGTACCTAAAACGACCCAGGGATTTATTGGCTGGAGATCAGGGGTTCCAGCACTGGCTCTTGAGCACGATTATCAAGTCCAAAGCTGCAAAGGATCTGTCTGTAGAATGAAGTGACCATAGGAGTCTTCTAAGTGACATTATGAAATAAAGAGGCACAAAGATTCATCTGCATTGCTAAGGAAATATCCTGGAGTGGACTGTGTGACTGTTGTGCATTTCTGCTCTTTGTAAAAATCCACAATCATTTTGGTAAAGGGTGACCATTTTCATTTCACTTCATTGAATCTATGGCATCCAGGCTGCTAACTCTGCTTCAGAGCTTCTCCTTGTAGCTTAGAAATAACAATGAATAAACTCAGGTAGAGATCACAGAGCACATACTATTTTTATTATCACTAATAAGACTATAATTTAAAAATATTCATTGGAAATCGGAATGACAGTGCAAATTTTTATAATTGTTTCTCCATGAAAACCTCTACTCATAAAATACTCATAAAATACACTGGGTTTTGTGTTGGGTGTGCCTTGCAGGTATTTTGTGCAGTTACACACATAAATGAATAGTTCCTAGTACAGAAATAAAGTACAGAAGGGCCACAGTGACCAAGAGTCACTTTGAAAAATCAGTTTTGCTGTCAAAACAGGGCTTTTCCATTAGTTGATCAGTATGCAAATGGGTCACAAAGGATTTCTATTGCTTCAGTTGTGTGTCTAGCAGTATTTGCACCAGCCAGGGAAAGCTGCTCAGAGGCAGCAGAGCTCTGGGGTTACTGGAGGGGCTCCCTCAGTGCCCTGGGTTCACTCCTGCTCCTCACTGTGCCCCTGAGGGTTTGCCAGGATTTCTGGAGACCCAGGAGGAGACTGAGCTGCAGCAAATTTTTTGCTGTTTGCACAGTGTAATTCTAACTGGCCAAGGTGTTCACACCAGAAGGTTGTTAAAGCAAAAAGAGCCTCCAGGAAATCAACACAGGCAGCTCCCTCTAACTCCTTATCACTTAGAGGAGAAAGGTTTTCCTCTTGAACCCTGCTGCAGGATCTCCTTTGTGTTCTGCAGCCATCAATATCTCCTGCTTGAGTCAGCACTAAGTCCTTGGCCTTCACAGCAGTAAGGCAGCAGCCAGAGTTTGTTCTTCCCTTCTTCCCAAGAAATGACTCACAATGATCAACATCCCACCTTTTTTTTTTTTTTTTACATCCATTTCCAAATGCCCACAAAATAATAATATTTTACTTTTTTCCATACTCTTTACAAATAATGGAGAAGTGAGTCATATCCTTTGGAAAGATTACCCAAGAAGGAGAACACATAGCAGAAGTAACTTCAGACACTTTATTTAAAAACCAGAATAAAGAATAACTTGGAATCAGACTCTGGAAATTGAAGTTAAATTGTAGTTTAGCTACTAACCATAACCTGTGTACACTGTTCTTTGGACAACCAAGACAATTGTAAGAAAAATATTTAAATTCAATGTGCTTTCTTGTCATTGCCAGGTTTGTATCTCTTGCTTATTTTAATCATGTGGTATGTGGTTCTTCAGTTTATTTTAAGGTCATAAGATCTTATTCTTGTCTGATTTATATAAACAGGTATAATAATGATTGATATGGCATTTAGTAGCAATTAAATTACATTAATTCAGGCCAAATAAAAGGGGAATTCCACTGGCTTTAAAGAGTTATATTAATAAATCAAAGCACCACATACCCATTGGATGTTTGTATGAAGTGAAATCCAAATCCAGATGAGCATGGTTTGATTTTGAAAACCAAAATAAATTCTTTGTCCAGCATCTACAGTTAGACATTCCTGACTCTTATTCCAGTGTCTGAATATTAACTCTGGCCTGACATTAAGGGTTTTGTATTGTACATTCTGTCATTTAAGGTACCTTTACTTCAGGGGATACTTTGATAGACACTAATTTGGGATGTGCAAAGAATATAATCTAAAATTTTAAGTCATTTCTTCATCATAAATCTGTCAGTTATTATTTGTCCCGTGTATTCAGGGTTTTGGTGTTATATGAAACTACGAACCTGACTATTTTTTCCCAAAACTTCTAACATTTTACATGAAAAAATTTGTAGAAGTTGTGAATTTGCAGCTGACAAAGGACTGCCCAGTCATCTGCCCCAGTTTTGAATCCTAAAGGTCATTACAGAATTTTGTATCACCTTGTTATGTTTGAAACCTGGCCTTTAATTTGTGGAAATTAACCTATTTATTGGAGCCAGGCTGGGTACATAAATGCCACTGCACACTGTAAAATATCACACGTCTCCAAGGTCAGGACAGTGTCAGCAAACTCTGCATACACCAGAAAACACTTCAAAACAAAATTAAATCACTTCAAAAGTGCAACAAAAGCCTAAACAATTTTAATTCTGTATAAAAGTGGTAGACCTGTGTTTCTGTGCAAGTCAGAGCAGAACCAAAATATGAGAACAAGATGGAAGTGTATTTAGATGTCTTTGATGCTCCAACCAAAATTTCATTTGGTCTTTTGCAAAGCTTCTGGGGAGCACAGGGAGCTGCAGAGCAACTCCTTGGTTGACAGAACTTTCTCAGAAAGCTGAAGCCATCTGGCCTTTGGTGTTGTTTTCAGGTGAACTTTGCTAACAGACTCATTTTACAGAACTGCACACACAGAAATGTTACTGGATCTGAGACCCAGGCACCAGAGCCAGAGGTGGAAACAGGTCAGCCCCACGTGTGCCACCAAGGATGTGTCCTGCAGGTGCTCTCCTGGGTGGGTGATGAAATAACAGCAAAGGCTTAAATGGCAGCTGTGTTTAAGTTGGAGAACAATGAAATCAAAATTATCTTTTTCACAAGCACTCACTTAACAAACAACTAAATTGGGGGACAAAAACCTGGTGTTTTGCTTCACAATGTGTTCTTTTCCATGCTGTTAGAACTGGCACAGAACTGGCACTTGCTATTTATAATTTCATTAATATAAGATACTTTACCAGGAGCTCAGAGTCAAAAGATTGCTATTTATTTAAAATGCATTTTACAGAGAATAAAGTTTTTTTATTAGATCATAGTTGCTGGTGATTCTGACTAAGTAGCACTGCTGAGGTTGCAATCACCATGCAAGGGTTGCTGTACATTGGGAAAGAACCAAAGTGCAAAGCAGCCACAGCATGCACACAGACAAGTGATCCAGTGCCTAAAAGGGTGCTTGGAGAATGAACCTCAGTGCTCTGCATGAGACATCTCTGCAGTGACATCTGGGACAGCCCAATGACACTCAGTGCAGCCCTAACCTGAACAGCAAACTCCTGTTTCCAGCTCATCCCACTGCCTGCTCTCTCTGCCTGAGGTAACCTCAGTTCTGAGATTGTTTCCTTACAAAACAGAGGATGTAGATTACGTTATTAAAATTTGCAGAGACATAAAGCTCCCCATTCACACACATCATTTTCCTCCTTTAGTGAAGGATTCTTTTGGGTTCCTTCCACCCTGTACAAGGTAGCAAAGTGACAAACATTGATCTAACAGAGTCACTGGCCACCAGAGCAGAAACCTCTGCTTTCCTGTGAGACCCAGCCCAGCCCCTCCTTGCTTTAGGTTCCTCAGTGTTGAGTTTTGTTCCCCTTGAAGCCCAGCCCTTGTAGCAAGACTGATAAGGGCTGCTCACAGACTATTACCTTCTTCCTGACTCCTGTGGTTTTCACATCCCATCAAATTGTCATTTAGCTGAAAGCATGTCAGACCATTTCACAGGACCATACTGGAATAAATGTAACTGTACTGGAAATTGATGCTGTTGTGCTGTGAAACTGATTGGGTTGGAAGTGAACAAAACATTGTTCCTCAGTCATACATGGAAAAGACTAATGGTATTGAGAAATAATTTTAAAACATAACAATTCTGTTCACCTTGTGTGTCCTGTTTTAGGTGAGCTGCACTCTGCAGTTCCAGATGAGATCTAGCTGAAATTTGGAAGTGATGGGTCAATACAATGTGCTTTTATTAATGGAAATTAACACCTTTACACCTTGTGGTCACAGGTTGTGGATGTGGCCCAAGTGACTCTGAATTTAGCCCCTTTCCTCATAATTTCCCCTTCACTGCTTTATCTGCCTCACTAAAGAAGTGAAATAAACTAAAAATTCACTAAATATTCAAATAAACCTGCAGACTTCAAAGCACAAAAACAGATGCAACCATGAAGAAATAAACAGAACAAAGAATCTTCACTCCCCACCAGCACCACACATTCAGTTTGCTGGCTCCATTGACAGCAGCTTCCCTGGGTGCAAAATCAGATTTGCAGGTACCAGATTGGAATTAAATGTGGACACAATTCTTGTTAATCTAGGTTTTTAACAGCTCTAAAACCAGCATTATTTAGAGTTCCAATACAGGGCTTAAGAAGTGGCCGTTTTCTCTGTTTCCTTGATAAAGGAAGGGCTCCCTGATAAAGGAAGGGCTCTTTATTCGGTCCATTTTCCTGACTGCTTTCCCAAAAGATGACAAACGTGGAGAGCAGCCCTGCACCCAAACAAGCCATGGCAGCCCTCGCCCCCAGCCCTGCACGCACATTTCTGATTTCTGTCGCGGCTTTCCCAGCGATGCCTGCAGGCAGCCGGTGACACCCGGCTAATCCGCGATGCTCCAGCCCGACCCGAGCCTGACAATGCCTTCGCACCTCCCGCAGCCCCTCCTCCTCCTCCCGAAGTGAGAGACGGGCGCTGCTTTTATTCCTCACCGGGGAGCAAGACGAGCCCGGCTCTGCTCGTGAATCTCCCCTGCTCGCTGACACGCGTCAGACACAACATTCTCATCCTTAAAAGCTGGAGTAAAACAAAAACAAAGCAAGAGCCCAAAAAAACGCAGTGAGCTCCAGTCCCTGTCTGGAAAAAGAAACAGCCATCATGCTCCTCTTGCCAGAGCCAGCCGTGTCCTTTGTCTGATGAAAGCTGTGTGATTTCTCTGCTCCCAACGCCTGCGTTACAGATTCCATCTTGGCACTGCACTGGTTAAAGAACGAACCCCACATATTTACAGTCTCTCAGGAGAAGTGAGATCCAACTGAGTGCCACGTGAGGAAGCATGAAGGGACAAGGTTTATGGACATGCAGATCTCTCCCCCATCTCATTTCCTCCCTGGCTGTAGTCACAGGCCAAGTTGGGAGCTCTCTGTGGCAACAAAGCAGCCCTTGCTGCTTAAGGCCAAGGCCTGAGAAGTCAGGCTGGCTCTGCTGCTTCTGCACAGTGGTGCTGCTGGCTCAGAGAACTCTGCTCCAGGACATGGGCCCTGAATATTTAAAGTAGGAAAATTCACTTTAACCTACAACTTTTGGGGGTCTTGAGCCAGGTGCCAGGTAAAGGGAACACACTGCAGTGCAAACTGGACAATAACCTGGTTACCAAAGAGCACTGCTGATGCTTTTGCTCTCCCAGAAGCTGTGTCTACAATAAATCCAGTTACTTATGTGCAAATGCGAAAAGCTCTTGCCATAGATTTGACCAAACCAGGTTTCTCATTATGTTTGTTTGCCCTTCTGTTTGTTTAAGGTAGGAGTGCTGAGCAAATCAGTATTTTACTGGGATAGCCACAAGCAATGGGCAGCTTGAGCCTTACTCCTTCACCTTGGGCCAGGGCTGTTTAACTTGAGAGGGAACCACCTTCCTCATACTCAACAAATCTCAATTAAAATGCCCTGCAAGCATAGACACAGAATTCTGCACTTAAAGGACTCACAATGGAGAATTTCCTAAATCTCCTTTCCATTTTCCTTTCCTTTGCACTGCTGGAGTCACTGCTAATCCCTCCTCACCTGGCAGCAGTGACAGGCAGGGCCTGGCTGGTTCTGCTGGCAGCCAGACCCTGGCACTCCCTGTGCCCCTCTCAGCTCCTGCTGGGGTCAACCAGCTGTTGAGGGTTTCTGGAACACACAAGACACCAAATTACATAAATACTGCAATTATTTGGAATGTCTTTTACATTCATCTCATGTGTGTGTTTGGCAGCCTTGGTGGACTTGTTTTGAAGCTGAATAAAGCACATGCAGAGTGGTCATAGATGTGTAACAGCATCCAAATATGAGAATGGCTCTTCAAACCTAGTGAGCCAAATCTTTCTCTTTTGAAGGGCTCTATAATGATGATTTATACATTTTTACTGTGGAAAAGTAGATAAATACACAGCACTGTCTTGTAAGCCTCCTGAACAGTCCCCATAAGGGCAGATTGCAAAGTTTATCCTATAGCTCAGGTTCCAAAATGTTGATTTGTTCACCTGGTCTTACCCAAACCCCGTGAGACATAAAAATACAAAGTCTTACAAGACTCTACTCCCAGTTCAGGTCTCTCAAAACAAACAAGCTTCACTTCCTCTCCTGATGACGACAGCCTTCCCTGAAAAATTACAGCTTTATTATGCATAATTCAATTTCATCAACTGCTTTTCTTTATTGTCCCTCCTAATTATACACACATATACTTGTTATTTAATGCAATACATAAATTATGCCCCAAGCATAGCACAGACGTACACACACATTTTTTATGCAAGAAGAATGGAAAATTCAGTTAAGCCAATGAGGGATTTATTTACTCCCCTGTCCCATTCTGGATTTGTAGGTGTTTGTACAGATTCAGAAACCGCATCTGAATTCTGTCTGAATTCTCCCTTTGGTTGTTACAAGGGCATTAATTACCTGCATTCCATGTATCAGACCAACTTTAAATGCTTTTTTATTTCTGAAAAACAAGGCCAGATGCACAGAAGTTTTTATGCTTCTGACAGCCCAATGATGACAACACAGTAACTCAATTTGTTGCCTGATTTTGGCTGAGAA